TTCCTGATCTTTTCCATTTTCTTATGGGAGTTCTCCAGGATCCTGTTTATAAACTACTTTGTTGGTAGGTTATAGCTTGCAAGTTCATTGACAAATGAAATTTGGGCAAGAACAATAATTTTGCGTTACTTGTGGAATTTTTGCTTGGTCATATCCTCAATGAAGAGAACTCTGGTGTTTATTAAAGTACTACTTATGTTGGTTTGATGGATAGGGCTTCAAATGCAAAGGTGATAAGTTATACTAATACAGGATCGTAAAAATGCTCAAATGATTATAATTCAGCTTTGCATTGAGATGATGAATTACTGAAGAGGACACTGGGCAAAGAATAATTAGCTTTCCTTAATAAACCTCTTCAATGCACCTTTTGTATTTTTGATTTCATTGTGAAGAACAATGTCATAGATGTCTTACTAATGCATGGATGCTAGTAGAATCTCAATGTAAAACTGCCCTTGGTAAGAAAGTGAGTGTGCTGAAACAGTTATTAGCGATACTGAATAATTTAGTTCTGTTATTCTTTTCTGTAGGTAAAACAGTTAGATTTTATCGATGAAAACAAAGTCAAGTTTGTATAAACATATGGGTGATACCCAAATACCTTTTAGTAAATGATTTATTAAATGCGGCCTGGCAAGAAGCAGAACTTTTCGTTCAATGGGTTACTAATTTTATTCGTCCATAAACTGATTATGTTTATGGCTTCGTAAAATGATAAGGTCAAATCAACATCAAGTCAAATATTGAGAGATAACACATATTTCTTCTCAAAGAAACATACATCACTGCCATGTCACCAGATTCAGCTGCTGAAATGTTAGGTCACTTCCTTGCCCAGTCAAGTTGTCAACCCAATCTGATCAACTGGCTGTTTAGTCGTTGGCCTTTAATATGAGAATTTTTAGTTGGTACGCATCACATATTGCAATGTTTACTGTGGTTTTTGCTTACTTATTAAGGATTAAATAAAATATCATGGCACAACTGAGATGTTTGGATGAGAATGTTTTGCAAGTTTGTTACCATAAGCAACTAAAGGCATATTGTATTTACTTTTACTAGATAGACAAAACCTTTAAGCTATCCTAACAGTAAACAGACCAGATATTGCTTTTGTTGTAAGATTGGTGAACCAGTTTCTGAATTCACCAAGGTACAGTGATTAGACATACTGAAACTTAAAATGTCTTAAAGGTGCCTTGGGTCATGGCTAACTCTATCAGAACAGTCATCTTAAAATATTTTGTTGTTAGTGGAATCCTGTTTCATGGAAGTGCAAGAAACAATCTGTGGTTTCAAAGTCTGGTGTTGAATCCGATTATAGGGCTATGGTGCAAACTATGTGCAAGTTGCTATAGCTGAAACAGCTGTTGAAGGAACTTGGTCTTGAAAATAATAATCCAATGGATCTGCAGAAGGCAAGCAACTCTACGTATTGTATCTAATTATCTGGACAACTGTGGGTGGACAACTGTTATTTGTGTACCTGTTGGTGGAATCTTGTTTCTTGGAAGAGTAAGGTACGGTGCTAAATGCCAATATAGGGCTATGGTGCAAACTACAAGTGATTTGCTATTGCTGAAATATCTGTTGAAGGAACCTGGTTTTGTAAGTAATATGCCAGTGGGTGTATCATGCAATAATCTTGCAGCTCTTCATATTTGCATCTAATTACCCTGGCTGCCGCCACCTTGCAGTGGACTGGGGAAAGTGAATACCCTTGACGCACACCCACCAACCTGTGATCAGAAGGCTAGCCTCTTTCTAAGGATATTTGGTGGACTTTATACATAGACAAAGCACATTAAGATAGATTCTCACTACATCTGCAGATTATATGTTAAAAGATGAGCAGCTAGTAGACTCGCTCAGTAAATGTTTTGGCAGTTCTAGAATGCATTTTACTTGTAACTAGCTAGGGTATTACTAGAAGTATTGAGGATTTGAAGGTCAATAGTTATGTTTTCATAACAAATATTGTGGTTCAGGGAATTAAAGCAGAAAAAGGGCAACCCAAATGGCCATTAAACTATTCCTTTGGTGTAATTTTGGCTACTGGACTATTTTTAGTTCCAATTTTTCCACTGAACTCCTAAAAACATTTACATTTGGCACTTTTTAATGTTTCACTGTCAAGTCCTTTCTCTTCGGTTAATTTAGGGGGATACCTTTTTCCAAATGTTTTTCTCTTCGGTTAATTTAAAAGTTTTACTTGAATTCTTGATTAAGGTATCTTGAATGCACCCATGTCAGTCAAACATCTGTGAGTGAATGGAGTGTGACATAGTTTTAGCTTAACGTGCTTTTGTTTGACTTGACTAAACCATTGATGCAACTAATGATCCAAAGAGGATGATTGGAGGAAGAGCTGTTTTTCTCAGCTTGTGGGCTTGTTAATGGAATGACAGAAAAGTGATTGTTGATTTGGTACTGAGGCTGTCGGGTCGCATTGCAGGTTGGAGTCGGTAAAGCTCTCTGACTTTTAATACTGAATTAGTTCTATGACTGAATTAAAGGTTCCAAAGGTCATTGTGCAAGAATTTGGTGTCAATGCATATCTGCGAGCTCTCTCTTTGTTGTCTTCAGTGCAAAGTAGAAAGACACTGAATTTATGCATTTTTAATTTTCTATTCTGCTCGGCTTGTTATGCTTCTTTCCAATAATTTGCAGATTCAGAAGAAAAAGATCTGGGAACAGGTTCAGCCTCATCTGGGGACGGATGACTCGTGTATTGCTGCACTTGGTATGCACACCATGCGAACAACTGATGGTGTTGTGGTCTGCAGATCTCTAAAGAATGCTAGAATATCATAACAGGCAGTTGGAAGCTCGTCAAGGTCACAGGATTCTTTGGTCTCATAACTTGCACTTCTAGTGTGCCCCACTATCTACTGCTGTCTTTGGACCTAAATTTCTGTGCAGTATGTCCGCTGGTTTTTAGTGAGATATTGCAGGAAGAAAAGATAAATGATAATGGGCCTTGTCTATGTTTGACCTGTCATAGTTTACATCACTAATGTATGGTCATTCTTTTGTCTTTTATCTATCTTTTGTTGACACTTTGGCAAATAGCTGAGAATGTAATCTGGCTTGCAGACTTGACCTTCGGATTGATTTTTATTAGGTTCTGCTGGCTGTAAAAATTTAGGAGCGTTGTGACTTAAATGGCACCATTAAGATTAGAGTTGATTTTGTTCAATGGGAGATAAAATGAGACAAAAAAAAGTTACTGAGTAAAGTGAGAAACGAGATATACTTTGATGCGATTAAATGTGATTAACCCTTAAGATTGGTTGCATTTATTCACTTTATAACATGGTATAGTTTTTGCTTCGCTAAGCAAAAATTTTCAGCTTTCGACACCCAATTTGATGACATCAAAATTTGTAATAAAGGAAACGTCTCTTTATAATTATTGTAGAAACAGCTATGGAATTTGATTAAAACTTGAATCATAAAGAGGGGAAATGGGATAAGTAGGAGGCGTGGTAGTAAAAGTAAAGATTAAAAGACCCCAAGTTCTGGAGTTTCGGAAAAAAAATAAGGGGACAAAGGGCAAAAAATTAGCACTGATCAAAATTAACATAACTTTTCGTTGCCGTTTTGATAAAAAAAAAAAAAAGGATTTCTTTTTACTTTTAGCGAAAACAAATGGAAAACATTAGACGCAAAAAATAAAAGAAACCAAATAAGAAAGGGTTTTCTAACCAAAAAAATAAAAAATAGGGATAATTTCAGAAACCTCCCCTGAGGTTTCTGACAGTCTCAAGGACCTCCCCTGAAGTTCCGAAAATCCCTTATACCTCCCCTAAAACTAAGTAGATAGTTTCAGGTCCAACCCAATTGAGGTGGACAATGAATATAAAATGTGTTTCAGGAGAGAGAAAATAATCAAATTCCACCTCTGCCCTCAAGATTGTCATTAGTGAGGATGTTTATGTTGAAAATTTCAATGGAATCTAGTTCCTTTGAAATTGCAGGGGGTGTATGTGAAACTGATGGAAAAAGGTAAGGCTGTATTGCAAGAAATTGTCTTCTAGTTCATGCCAACGGCTCTCAAAGTAGTTCTTTGTGACGGTAATAAGAAACAGTAGTGTTGCTTTGGAGCTCTATATAATTGCCTACTGAAGTTGCAAGAGAAACCAGTGAATGTTGTTGGGTTGTGACTGAGGTTTCTGCAAAAGTGCTCATACAAGTAGCAAAATTCTAATCAAAATCTATTTTTTGATCACAACAAGAAGTGTTACCTATAACAGGAGCGGGCAGTTTAGAAATTTATTTATCGGATAAAATAAATTTAAACCCATTGTTGAATAAAAGACCAGCTCTTTATGGCTTTCGTCCATTATACTTACGGAGTACCCATTTTCCTTAAATACTAATTTATTTGTCGGATAACATAAAATAAATCCGTTGTTGAATAAAAGAGCCCCACTTTTCAAAGCTTTCATTCATTATAAGAACAGAGTACCCATTTTTCTTAAACAAAAATTTAGTTATTAGATATAATAAAAATTAACTCGTTGTTGAATAAAAAACCAGCTCTTTATGGCTTTTCTCCATTACAACAACATAGTACCCAAGGTCCCTTAAATAGAAATTTATTTATCGGATAAAATAAAAATAAATCCGTTGTTGAATAAAAGACCAGCTCTTTATGCCTTTCGTCCATTATACTCACAGAATACCCAAAGTGCCTTAAATAGAAATTTATTTATCGGATAAAATAAATTTAAACCCATTGAATGCCGAAATTAAAATAAAATAAAATAATAAAGATGAGTATTGATTCATAATAGTAAAGAACCAGATTCATTATCATGTGCTTCCAGTTTTGCTTATTGAATACCACATGACAGATTTTACAAAAACACAGTGTACAAGTAATAGTGCAAATGGAACTTCAGTCTTCTGTTGAGAAGCATTTTGAGTGTACAACAGCCAAATCTTTCCACTTATGCATCCAGGTTAATACAAAAAGATAAATTCGTCCAAAACATCAGATAACTAATGTTCAGATACCAAAATTAGATAACCAAGACATCTAAAAGATCCTGATATTCATCAGTAATGATCAGATATTCATGTCCTCTGATATCCAAATAACAAAAGACTCTTAATAGATTCTACTAAAAGGTGAAGCTGCTACTGACATTATGAGAATCATGAGAAACTGAAGCATTGATGTTGACATCAGTTTGTACTTGGGCACTTCCACTGGGATGTAGTGCAGCAGTATGCATTCCTGCAAATGGTTGAGGTGCTGCTGTTGAAGTTTTCCTTTTGGGGTTATATACAACAGATGGAGCAGATTTGTTGGAAGGTCGGCCTCTCTGAAATTGCAGATGAAGCATGATTAATATACAGGCATGTAAATAAGCATTAAAAGTGCAGCTATCTCTGAAAAAGGATTAAGGAACAAATACCTTTCTCTTAGTAGCATTGGTTGCTGTTTGCAGATTCAAGTCAGCATTCATTAATGGTAATTGAGTTGATGGACTTCGGTTATTGCCTTGACTAGAAACTACAATAGGCACATTGCCATCAGCATGATCCTGCACAAATCAATGGCAAGCATTAGCTCATCAGACAACAGCAACATAAGAAAAGTCTGTTTCTGAATCTAAAAGAATTGTAACCCATAGAACAGATCCTGCAAGCCCTGTATTTGCAATTCCCCTTCCTGGCTTTCCTCTAGCAAATTGAGTCCCCTGACATGAAAATTAATAACAAATTACAAGCTCGCTTAGCAATTTCAAGTCTCTCAATTAAACCACTAGACTGAACCTTGTTTGTGCTGGTGCTTGTACTCCTTTGTCTCACAGGTGCTCTTTGACATGTTCTAGTATTATGTCCAGTAGCTTTGCAGTTGCCACATCTCATAGTGGTTGACCTTTTTGCTTGAGATTGGCTTGGCTCATCAGGCCCTCTCCTTCTATTAACTCTTGGACGACCTGGAGCTCTTCTCAATGGTGGTGGAAGGACAGTTTTTGGTGTGACATCAATTAATGGAGGCCATCTCTTCTCGTGAGGAATTGGATGTATCATGCCACTATATGTCTTGAGATACATTTCTGTTGAGAAGCAAGGATCACAGTATGTCTCCAACTTCTGTCTTTTGTATACAATTCCAAGTGCAGCATGCTTGCATGGGAGTCCAGACAATTGGAAAGCTCCACAGTCACATGTCTTCTGGTTCAAACTCACTATAAATGTTCTGTCACCATCAGTAACTTCAAACGAATCCTCACTGGCCATCTGCAATGAACATCTCCTAGAATGTATTGCAATTTCCTTGAGCTTTTCTATGATGTTTTTTGGGATAGCAGACGTCCATGTGCAAGCCTTCTGGTACCTTTTGTGTAATTTCTTCATAAATTTTTTCCTCAGTCCTTCAACAAGTGTCAGTATTGGTTGGCACCTTAAGTCTCCAATCCAAGCATTGAAGGATTCCGTGAAATTGTTTGTGACATGGTCACATTTCAAATTTGTTGAGAAAGCATGTCTAGCCCAAGCAGAAACTGGAATCTTGGATAAGTACCTCCATGCTTCTATATTCATGTCCTTGATTCTCTGCATTGCTTGTGTAAATCCAACTGCATCATAACTCTTAGCAGCTTGCCAAAAGAAGGTACTCAGTAACACTCCAGGGAATTGAGACTTGAAGTTCATGCAAATATGTCTGCAACAGTATCTTCCAATTGCAGATGGCAGCTGCTGTTCATATGCAATGTTCAACCCCTACATCAAAAGCAAAAAATCAGTCAGCCTTTTTTACCATATCTACACAGCAGGTTGTCCAAATTTGGCAAAGTAAAGTATTTAGTAATACCTTTTGTCTGTCACTCATGACAGTTAAGGGACAGTTGTTATCGAATGGTCCAAAAAATTCTTCAAAGAAATGAAAGAACCAGCTCCAAGTCTCTTTGTTTTCTACCTCAACAATAGCAAAACCAATGGGAAATATGCTGTTATTACCATCCAATGCAACAGCAGCCAGCAATACTCCACCAAAACTACCTTTCAAATGACATCCATCAAATCCGACAAAGGATCTACAACCACCTAAAAATCCATCTTTCTGACTTTTAAAGCTAATAAAAAGTCTGAGGAACCTTGGTTCAACTAGTAGATTTGGTCTGTCATAATGAATCTTACAAACACTACCAGGATTATGTTGCCTAAGAAGCACAGCATATTTGGGCAGTTTACTATATGATTCTGAATGTGTGCCTTCAATCTCTTCTCTTGCCTTTTGTTTGGCTCTATACACTTGCTGTTTACTAGGATGCACACCATATTTTAGCATCTCAGCTTCAATGCCCTTTCTTGACAAGTTAGGATAGGTTCTCATCACAGCTATCAGTTTTTTGGCCATCCAGTCAGAGGTGGCCTCACGATTTTTATTATCCATCACACATGTGTGTTCAGGTGTGTATGTCTTAATCATAAATGTTACTGAATCAGCTATAGGGGACGCATGAATCCTCCATGTACATCCAGCACTATCACAGATTGCAGTACACCTGGTTTTCTCATTCTTCAGCCTTTTGATGGGAAATCCTTTTTGGATCACATAATCCTTCAGTGCTGCTCTAAAGGCATCAACATTAGTGAATAGCTGTCCCTTCTTGAATTCTATGTCCTCTCTTGGATTGTAAGTCCACATCTTGTTTCTTAGCACTTCTTTTAAAGGGTCCATTTCTTGCTCAGATTCAGAATCTGGTACAATTAGATCACCAGTTTCATTATCATCCAAGTTTTGAAAACTTTCATCACTGCTAGAATTCTCAGACAGAACCATTAGCTCATCACCTATATCATCTTCATTGTCATCATCAAATCCTTGCTTCCATGAATCATCAGAGCTCGATTCACCCCTATACCCCTCATCCTGGGAGTCAATAACATGAACATTCTGCTCATCAGCAGCCAAGGCAGAGTGTTTGTTCTGAATTTCTATGTGCTCACTCTCACCATCAATCTTTCTCAACAACATGACAGGTTGTTCAGCTGGGATAATATCCATGTTGAACACCTCTATATTTATGACTGGTTGACCTTCATACACACTGAACATATCATGGACAGCTTCATCATCATTCACATCAATGTAAGCTTCTGTTCCAGGTATTGCACATCTCATATGTACAAGAAGATTAATATTTCCAGGCAGTTCATCTAATGCCTTCTCGGCAACATCATTCAGCAGATTAAAGAAAGAGTATTTTTCAGGATTTATATTGGAAATTCGAACTTTTGTCCCTCCACAATGGAGTACAATGTCATACACATCACCAGTCACCATCCTACAACATCAGATATCACTATTTATGAACTTCAATGTATACAAACATATAATACTATGACAGAGTAACTCCCTAGACCTCATGCAAACCACTTTGTATGATTCATATAAACAGCACCATCACATATGCATGAATACACATTCTAGTTTATAACTATTATAACCAGAAATAATGAAAACATTGTCAGGTGATCATATTAATAACAAAAGCAGAAACGCAGAGCTAATGTAGGAAAATAAGAAGACATGCTCAGTTTCCACATGGTCAGTAACCTTCATCAGCCATAAGCTACGTAGTATCTAACCTTGCTTTGCTTCAGATGCTCTCAGAACACCAACAGTTCACCCTTTGCAGCAATACTTCAGCTCAATTTCCAGAACTCAATTTCTTCAAGAATTCTCCCGTTTCTCCTGGAGCTCTCAAATGCTCTTCTCATGATCAGTATGGCTCAAGAAGGTCTATTCCTCATCAAAATTAACGTTCAGTCAGCTACCATTGTCACATCAACAACCAAATGGGCGCCCATTTTTGGCGCCTTTTCTCTTAGCCCAAATTAGCAATTCATTTTATTATCAAATTCCAGTTAAGTTACTTAATCCTTTCTATTACTCATTTCACTAATTAATTCATGTTATTATCAGAATATATTACTTCAACAGCAGGGATATTTGTGTCAATTCAACGTTTTTCAAGTCATTTTGGGACCCAACAATCTGACAGGGGAGGTATAAGGGATTTTCGAAACTTCAGGGGAGGTCCTTGAGACTGTCAGAAACCTCAGGGGAGGTTTCTGAAATTATCCCTAAAAAATAAGAGAGAAATATTCAATAACAATAAAACGGAACAAAATATATAAGAAAGTTTGAATAACAGTCAGAAACTTGTGAATGGGAAACAGGAGATGAATCTGATGGAGAGTACAATGGAAAACAGAGGTCTTCTAGAAGTGTAAAAACATGAAAAAAAAAATTTCAATGCAAATCTGCGGAGAAAAAAAGATTACCATATTAGTCTTGCTGACTGAGGAAGAAAGAGGAAGATGGCAAAGGAAAAGAAAAGGAGAGAAGAGAATGACGAAAAAGAGGAAGAAATGAAAAGAGAACCAGAAGAGACCGAGGGAAAAGAGAGAGATAAAAGCACACGGTTTCTGGCACACGGTTTCTGGCACACGGTTTCAGGTGGTTTGGGAAATAGAAGGGAACAAAACCGGTACAAGGAATCCAGGACCAACAAGTATGAAGAAGGACGAAACACCAACAACAAACTTCACGACCCATTCCCACTCTATATATAAGTTCTTTATGGTACAATACTACAAAGTTAATAAAGACTAATTTTGATAGGAGTCCGCGGAGAAATTTGGGGTTTCTCCAATTTTCCATCGTTTTTGGTCAAGAGAATTGGTGCAGCCACCCGCTTTGGTGCAGTTGCAGCAGTCCTAGTGAAAATGGCAAAAGACGACGAATTGGGGGCTGGAGCCGTCCCAGAAGAAGAGGGGCCATCCGAAACTGCAGCAGCAGATGAAACTGAGGAGAAAGTTGATGAGCTCACTTTAGATGGCCCACAAGGTTTTTATTGCATCGCTGCTTGGGTTAATCGTAGTTATTTTACATTTCCAATAATCCCTTTTAATTTGGTGCCATGACTCTCGTTAATCGATCTTTAGATATTCTGATTGTAATAGATTACTAATGTGTGCGCAATTAGTAGAAAAAACTTTCTGAACTTTGTTCTCTAATTAAATTGCATCTGTTAATCAGAGAACGACTTGTTGCTTCATGTATAATCGTGGGATTCCCTTGTTCATCTTTTTGGTTCTAAGGTTTGTTCAGTTGCTTGAAAGATATGATTTGTGAAACAGTAGTTGTTCTTCATTAAGGTAAAAAGAATTTATTAAGCAAAATTTTTTTTTTTTTTATTCAGTACTTGTTAGGGTAGCTTCTTACAGTCAAACCTTTTGCGGTCTAATAAGTCAAAATCACAAGTCCAGTGAACACCTGAAAAGAAGTCCTATCCAGTTTGTTTTTTTAAGGGAATAGACTGGTTTATTTTCCCATTTTCAGCTTGGTATCTAGCTTTGGTCTATTCCAGTGCTGTTGATGATTATCAGATATACCAAATGATTTCTACCTGTTCTGCTATATTCTCCTTTTTATTGCTCACGATTGTGTTTCATTCCCATGATAAGCTGTCCTTTCCGGCCTGTTAATAGATTCATTTTCTTTACTCCTGAGCAGCTGAGTTTCTTGTTTGCTTATTATAGCTCGTTGAACATCGATTTAGATTATTTGCGAATGCATATGAAGAGAGGTTGGTCATGCACAAACTTATTCATTCAGCTTACAAATTCTCTGTTTCTTGGAAAAGAGTTTAGATAATATGGATATTTATGTTCGCCCATTCAGGTCTAGCTCTCCTCAAACGTCATTTTAGTTGTAGCATCGTATTTGTATATTTGTTCACTCTCTCAACACATGCTGAAATATGAATTAAGTTTTCAGGCAGCTGATTAAGCATTAGCATCCATTCCCCCTCAAAAGATATGTTTCAGTTAATCCAGTAACCAATCTATAAAAAAATCTGGACTTAATTGACATTTGATACTTTTTTTGAAATTTGCATAGCAAAGTGATATATAATTACTGATTCATTCTTTTTGATAAATAATTTAATAGTAGTATTTGCTCTTACACTTGGGCCTTTTGAAATTCACAGAAGCTGCTAAAAAGAAGAAGAAAAAAAGTAAAAGCAAGTGAGCACTTTCTCTCCTTTCATTGTCTTTTTTTCTCCTTATGGAAGGATTTAGGTTTTCATTTCTCCTTTTTCATGTTTTGCATTTTCAGGAAGAAAAAAGAAATGCGGGTGCAAACAGATCCTCCATCCATCCCAGTTATTGAACTCTTCCCTTCTGGGGAATTTCCAGAGGGTGAAGTTCAACAGTACAAAGACGAGTATGTACCCATTACTGTATGCTTTATTGTCTTTGATGACCTATATTAAGCATTATTGCAATCAGAACAGATTGTCTGAAAAATTCGCAATGGAAAGGGTCAGGATATTTTCTGCATTTGATTATTGGTTGTATTTAAAAGTTCATAGTAGTGAGATGGAGAGCAAAAGGATTGTCTCTTTTAATTGATAAATGCTTCTGACAGCATTTAATTTCCATACAAGGGAAAGTTCCTGTAAGAGTGAATGTGCATGGATATACTAATTCTTTACTACAAAGTTGCTGCAGTGTGCAGATTGGAAAGCTTTTTATTAGGATGTGTTGGCGAAACTATGTGAGCTATGATTGTCTGAGGAGAAAGCTCGAATAGTAAATCCACTTTTAGGGCCTGTTTGATAACTCTACTTAATGCTGATAATTAATTTATTCAGAATTTTTTGAATTTAGCATGTTTGATAATAGAAATTCCTTACTACTTAATGTATTAAGCACTGCATAATTTGTGTACAAAATTTTAAGTGAAAAAAATTTTGACTGACTCCTCTGAATTGACCACACATACTATGCCTCTCACGCACATGACACAATCTCATAGTGTTCTTGCACATAGTGCACGTTTGTTTTCTTTATGCTGGACATATACAAAGACACAGATGCACGCGCACACACACTCTTACAACAAATATACACACTTAAATACCACTTCTAAATTATTTCATTATTTTCTCTCTCACACACATGCGCATTTTTCTTTTTCTCCAAATGCACAAATATAGGTTTAAATAAAAAAAAATAGAAATACAATTATTAGAGATATTTTTACTGTAGCACTTTTTGTGATGTGATGTATGTGAGATAAAAAGGTAATTGAAAAGGTAAAAAGGTGTATTGGAAATTGTAATGATGATGTAAGCAAAAAAAATTGGGGAAATAAAGCCCAATCCAAACAAACCCATAATTGTGCGATATTTCAATTGAGTATCATAATCCAGTTAGTTATCAAACAAATATAACTTGAACAATTCAGCAACTTAATACATTCAGCACTTAATTTTCAGAATTCAGATTTCAGACTTTAGATTTATCAAACGGAC